CCGCATCAAGTTTGTCTTCATTTGGCATCCACACGTGCGTACCATTCTTTCTGCCACCACGGCAATAGAGCATGAGCACTGCACAGAGAAGCTATGTTAGAACCATTCCTTGAATAGGGAATAATACTGACCTCGTCCTGAGTGCGAGGGGGTGGCAATGTTAACCGATGCAAATTTCACTTGTGCAACGAGCCAGCTATCAGCTGTAACAATTGTGACTTTAGATTGTGCAATCTCTCTTATTCCACAAGGTTACATCTCTAATCTAAGTAAGACAAGCAAATATTGAAATATCCAAGCCATGCTGTCCGTCGATCTTATCTCAGTGTTGCCCTTTTTAGCGTCGGGCGGGCCGACATAGGTTGATATCATGTGGTTGGTCGGCCAAGCGCCTACCCCCGCTGACGTCCGGACAAAAATCAGGCCCGCCTTTGTCGAAGGTCCGACGTCCGGACCACCCATCCGGCCTCGGCAAGGGCTGAGGTCAAAACGTTCGGACAAAATCTGGCATAGGGTCCAAAATTTGGCCAAAAACGTCCGGATTCCAGATAGGCATCTGGCCCAATTATCAGGGGTCCTACCATCGTTCGTCTGTCTTGCCTGCTGAAACTCACCAGATGATGCGCTGGCGCGCGCCCAGACCTTAAGGCCAAGGGGCCAGAGGACCGGGTCCCAGTGTTGTGCTAGTTAATGACTAGTCAATGACTAGTTAAATAGTCACTGACTTTACTGAATGACTTAACTAATGACTGTAACTGGGCGGTTCTCGGGTCCTGATCTCGGAAAATGCCGCCGTCCAATCGGAGTGCGCGGATATCTGCCTAGGTGCGAGTGGGACGTCTGAGAGGCAATGTTGCGAAACTTTCGAGGTAGTGACTATTGTATATACGACCTAAGTACAAGCGCAAAGTTCCTCACAGTCCTCTTCCCCTTCTGCATCCAAATCAAACAACCCATGAACCTCTATCTCTTCTTCTAGCCCGCGCAACCCCAGCTTGTCCATAGTGTCAGTCCAATATGTGTTCCTAAAATCAAATACATCATCAAGGCGGCAATGTAATGGCTGCCCATGATGCTGAGACATGACAGCAGAGAGATGTTCTGCCTGAATCTCAGATTCTGCGGCCCGCGCCATTGCAAGGGCGATATCCTGCATGAGGCGTGCTCAATTCCAAAGTGGATGAGATGGGATGGGATGGTTTCGAGCCAGCACACGGTGGCTGTAGCTTTCCCGCTGATGGCGTAGATTAGCCGTGAGACATAAGTCAGAAATAGATCTGTTCCTAACCCGCCATCCCGCCCTTGAGTTCCGCTCGCTTCCAAAACAAGTAAATGTATTTGTACAAAGCAAATAGAGGCGGGAGAGGGGGGTCGAGAACCTGGTGGCCAACTCCCTGGTAAAGTGCCCGGCGCTGTCTCTAGCGTAAAGCGCGCTAGAATGCAGGTTATATACTGGTTTCTGTACCAGAAATTCCTGTTGAGACAAGCAAATATCTTGAACTAATTGGTGTATTTCAGCATGTGGTTGTAGGGCCCATGGCAATTATTAGCAAGTGAGCTAAGGGTTACATGATTCCTCCTAGAGCTAATTGCATGAAGGCTTGAATGTTATTGGAGTCAACACTCGAGGTCCTTGAGATCACTGTTGTCGTCACGAGCCCTTTGTGCAACTTGTGTGCTTGTGCCCGCAGCCTGTCATGGCCTATAGGCACATGCCGGCATCATGGAACCTCCTCAAGGCACCGTTCTGTGATATTGGCCGATTTCTCTCCCTCCATTGCATAATGGACAGTGCATTATGTGAACTGTCCCCTCTACCTCACAGTCATTGTGAACAGTCTCTATTTGTCTCGTACAAACACACTTACTTGTTTTGGAAGCGGGCGGGACTCGAGGGCGGGATGGCAGGTTAGGAACAGATCTATTTCTGACTTATTTCTCACGGCTAATCTACGCCATCAGCAGGAAAGCTACAGCCACCGTGTGCTGGCTCGAAACCATCCCATCCCATCTCATCCACTTTAGAATTGAGCACGGCTATGGACGACGCATTGGGTGCGCGCTAGTGCTCACCAAAATTATGATTACATACCATTATAATCCCAGATTAAGCATATCTTAAGATTAATTATGTGGGTCTCTGTAATCATTCTCCTACTTGTAAGCTTGGCATATCGTATGCGTACATATGCATATCGTAAATTATGCTGCCCGTATGTAATCTGTATGCTACATATATTGGATCCCCAGAAGGGCCGAGATTTCAGATACGGCGCGCACCACCCGCACGCTCGAGAATCACACACCGACATGCTCTGCAAGTCCGAGCATAGGAATAGCGCCAGCCCTTATATTATATAATAGGCATCGGAATTCTCCAGATGTCGACACACAGCGGGCCATGTCAGTACACCACGAGCATTCCTCAACAGGTAGAGGTGGAAGTTTGCCTCTGCATTGACTAGAATTGACCATGCAAGAGCCAAGCTCATGAAGAAGTCCTTTGCAGGGAAGTATCTGCTGCTAGCCTGTTCACAATGACGGCCAGGAACAGCATCGTGCGTCCCTCTTCCTTCCTCTCCCCACTGACTGCGCCCTGACTGCGCCCCCTTTGACATTGCCGCAGGACATCGTCCGGAAGCTCCAACACCAGGCGCGCAGACCCCGTCGTGTGCGAGCTCGACTGGCTCGGTGGCAGGATGCACCTCATCGCACCTAACAACACCAGCGTCGTGCACAGCATGCCGTCGCCCACAAAGAGCTCCAGCAGCAGCAGCACGGTGTCCGCGCTCTCTTACAAGACCCCGCTCGCATCTGTGCCTCTGCCGCCACTTTTTGACGCGCCCGTGGGGTGGTCACCTGTCACACGCGAGCGTTGGCGGCGTGTACGAGCATCAGGACTTGCACCCAATTCACATCTTGGACGTGCACATCTTTGGTGGGGGCGCATTCTTGTTTGACCTGTGTGCCGTGGCCGCTCTCGCTGCGCACCGACAGCACGCCCGACTTCCAGATGCTACACGAAATTTTGGGGTACTTTGAGCCTGACCACTTTGGCAGTGGGATGAGCGTACGGGGCACACTCAGCGTGCAAATGTAGTATATCACCTTGAGAATGTGTCCAGTAATGTACAGCTGTGTCGGTGACTCGATGCTTAGCTACCTTAGTACCTTCGCTTCAGAGGTCGACACTGCTTGAATCTTATTACATATGATTACATATGATTACTTAAAATTAAATATGCATACGATTATGCATATCATAACTTACGGCGTCCGTGTACGCTGTACGCAATTCTAATGCATAAATATCCCCAAATTTTGTATGTAATCTTAATTGGTGAGCACTAGTGCGCGCTCATTGGGCTGCATCTCTGATGAGGCTTGCCCTGTTGAGCCAATCGGGCTGGCCGGTCATGAGGACTGTGATGGGGCCAGGTGAGCTAGCATCAGGCTGAAATACTAAGCTCGGGCCAGACGCAGAGGCAGTGCCGGAGAGTGCAGAACCCGCTGCTAATGGCGGTGTGACAGATGCAGCAATCGGTACGTTTGCCATGGGCACACGTATAGTTGGGGTAATAGTAGGTGGCGGTGCTGCTGCGCAGTCAATGAAGTGTCGCTCGCGCCGCTGGAGGCGCGTTGCCAGAGCGCTACCAGACTCGTATTCTTGCATAATGTGCAGACTGAGCTCTGCAGAGTTCATGAGA